TCCCAGCTCCCAAATACTGGGATCTTGATTTGGAAGAGAATACTAATAACAAAAATGTTAGCTACTCTGTGCTTTACCACCAGTGAGTTCTTGCAATACTAAGTAGTTTTGCGCAAAAATGTAAGACTCAATGTAAATGGAATATAGAATAAACTCTAAGGTACAAAGAACAATCTATGAGGACCATTCAAATCCTAATTAAAACTGACCTATGTGTGTTGTTAAGAAATCTTTAAAAGGACATTTGCTGAGCTAGAAATGGAAATCTACCTATCAGTCTCATTTTTAACAATATAAAATGTGAAAGACAAAGGCATATGCTTAGAGACATCATTCTCATTTGAGAAAATGTTTTAAAAAGATAAAACTGAAAATTATTTTAATGATATATTAATGTTCTTCTCTAACAGTGTTACCGTGGAGGTCAACTTTATAGACACCAAACAGCCAATAAAACTAATGAAAACCAAAGTCTCTTCCCTATGGTAGGAGGTCAACCAACCTTCTCTTACTGCTTTGGTGCCTGGTTACCCCAGCTGGGCTCTCTCCTACCCATTTCTTTTATTATTCCAGCACTCATGACTCCCTTGCCATTGCTAAAGAAACCTGTTTTTCTGTCAATGCCCTGATACTGTCAAACAGAAAAGGGCTGTGACAAGGCAGTCTTCCGGAAGACATTGCTTGCACCCGGCACTCAGTACCTGTCCTCTCCATTCATGCCAAAGTCTAATGAGGTAAACATATCAATTCTGTGTTCCAAGTGTCTGTACACAATGGGTAGCCCAAAATTATTTACAGTGCTGTCAATTACACTGACATTACCCATTTACAGAAAGTAAACTGCACAAAAATTACGATAGGCAACAGGACAGAGTAGAAAGAGAATGTGACTTGGTATCAGAGACAGGTTTGAGTACAAGCACCACACTGTGACTTTGAGAAAAGTCATTTAAAAGCCTTTGTGAAGTTTTAAATATCATCTGCCTTTCCTGTCATGAGAATAAAATGAGAACTTAAAAGGAAAGTAGTGTAAGATAAAACACCAAATAAATATTTTGCTGATGACAATGATATGATTACTAACAAATTCCATGTCATCCCCACTGGCCCCAAGCCTCAACTGAGACCAACAAATCCCCCTTTTCCAAGGAGGCAAGAAAAGAAAAAGATAATCAAGACAAAGAGAGCAGCCTGTAATATAAGCAATGAAGCCAGTTTTCTTGTGTATCTGCTGTGCTGTCCCTGAAGGCAATTCTGAAACAGAAGCAACAAAAGTATTTGAACAAAGCCAGCGATGTCTGAGAAGGTACTTAGTCTCCCAAGGGGAATACATTTATGTGTGTAACTGATAGTACTATTCCCCTTTTATGTATAGTTTGTTGGGTTCTTTTGCTTTATCAGGTCTATCCTTAAAAATAGGTAAAGGAAAAAAGCAACCTCCAGTGTGTGACGGCTGCAATTCAATACTAAAATATAAAATGCAAGAACAAAGGCTAAAATAGAAGGCCAACTGAGATTGTGGATGCAAAAACTACTCAAAACCAAATGCCTTGAAAACATGATAAAGAAGCAAAAGATAAGTTGAGTGCAAATAAGCATTGATTTTGAAAACTCAAAGGCAGATAACAGGTAACATTGACAAGACTGGGTGAAGCAAGAAAGGCAGTAAGCCTTTCTATATCTATTTCAGCTAAAGAACCAGTAATTTCAACTCCACTGTTTGTGTATAATGCTAAGGAATGTGCAGGACGAGAAAAACATTCATCAGCATTTCAAAATCATACCAGCTGCCTCAAAATGCTCCTCATATTTGACATATAAGGCATCATACTTCCAATTTATTATAGCAAAAAGTCATGCAGGTATTTAAAGATAGAACTTTGTATAGTAAGTATACTATGCAAAGAAATTCTTAATTCAAATTTTACTAATACTTTCATTAACTACCTAAACTAGAAAGCTTGGCCTTCGCAGGTATACTATTTAGAGTCAAATAAGTTATGTTCATGTCTATAGAAAGTTCAACAATATCTTTTGAATTGTTACAAGTCAATCAGGTAAATCTTACACAGTTTCAAAACACAGACTTCCAAGAATAAACCCTACATTATGTAAATTCTATGTAATTCACAGCAAATAAAACTATCAAAGTGAAAAGAATAAGAAAATCAGAAATTAACTCAATCATTCATGAAACATTTGTGAAAACTGCCACAGGAGTTAGACACCATGCCAGGGCCTCAACACATATTGGTCAGCTAGACATTAATTTCAAGGAATTGAGAATCCAGTAAGGAAGACAGGCAAATAAACAATTTCGTGTGACAGGAACTATAAAAAAATAATTTGAAGCCAGTGACAGTAACTAATGTTTAAGGACATCTTGGAAATCAACAGGGAAGAGACCAGTATCATGACAAGGAAAAACATAAGCAATATACACACACAGAAATTATACAACTGAAATAAATATTATGTTCAATAAAAGAATCAACGATAAACAGAAACTTTTTTTTTCCAAAACAGTAAAACATGTTAATATTCAGTCTTGGTATAATTAATTGGGCACGACATACAGTCAGTGGGACAATGACCAATATGACATCTCTGCAGGATGACTTGGGAAAATGTATCAATAGGTTTTAAATTGTGTCATGTTCCCAAAATCATTACAAGAAAACTATAAGCCAATATCCCTCCTGAACACAGAAGCAAAGAACCCTAACAAAGCATCAGCAAATGAAATCCTACAATAGAAAAAGGAAAACACATCATGACTAAGTAAAGTTTATCACAGAGACTTAGGGCTGGTCCAACATAGGAAATCAATGTATCAGCAGAAATACTGTATGTTCACCTTAACAGCTGCAGAAAAAGCATCTGACAAGACTCACCATCCATTTCTGATAACCTAAACTGGCAAGGGATAGATAGAATGGAACTTTCTCAATCTGATAAAGACATTTACAAAAAAAACCCTACAGCTAACATCAGATATAATGGTAAAAGACTGAATGCTTCCCCTCCCTGATGTCCACTCTCACCACTGCTACTTAATACCCATGTAACTGAGTAAAAATAATGAAATAAAAGGCAGATTATGAAGAAAGATGGTTTCAATTCTTCTTTCTAAACATCATGACTATCTACAGAGACAATCCCAGAGACTATCCAAAAAAAGGAAAGGAAGGAACAACGGAAAAGGAAGGAAGAGAAAGAAAGCAAAAGAGCTACTGGAACTAATCAGTTTAGAATGACTGGTATACAAAAAAATTGTATTTACTGACAACAAAGAATTGGAAATTGAGATTTTAAAAGTATCATTTGTAATAGCTTTGAAAACTATGAAACAGTAAAAGATGAATCAAACAAAATATGCAAGACATTCATGCTTCACATTATACAACAGTGCTAAAAGATACTAAAGAAGATCTAAATGGAAAGACATCATATTCATTAATCAGAAGACTCAATATTAAGATGTCAACTCTCCCCAAATAGATGTACAGAGTCAATGCAATCTCAATGAAGATACCAGCAGGTTTTTTGTACAAATTAACTAGCTGATTCAAAAACATACATGGAGATAAAATGGTCCAAAAATAGCCAAATCAATTTTTTTACTGTTAAGTTAAAAAACTCACACTACCTGATTTAAGATTTACTATAAAGCTAGACTAATCAAAATATATGTTACTGGTGAAAGGAAAGCCAAAGGTACTGGTCCAACTGAACATCCACAAGAAAAACAAAACGAACTTCAACCCTTTCCTCACACCATACACAAAAATTAAGTTGAAATAAATCCTAGCCTTAAAGTTAAATGGCAAAACTATAAAATGTCTAGAATAAAACATGAGGAAAATCTTTGTGCCCTTGAGTTAAACACAGATTTACTAAATATGACACAAAATATATCAATTTAAAAAGTGGTAAGTCAAACTTCAAAAACCAGTTATTGGACAAGAACATGGATACTAAAGTCAGAATAGCTAGGTTCAAATTTCAATTTCACCAGAAACAAGCTATGCACCTCACTGTTTTATTGTCTCTGTGTCTCAGTTTACTTACCTGTATAATGATAATACCTACCTCATAGGGTTATTTAAGGACCAAATGAGGTATTTAGAAAATGCCTAATATATATTAAGTGCTCAGTAACTATGTCTGCTACCATTCTAAAAATTGTATCTAGTTGCTTAAAGAAACATGCAATTTTCATGTTCAAAACTTAGTACTTCCTACTGTCTTATAATTCTATTAAACACTGTATAAAAATAAGTTTGGCTTTTGTTTTCATTTAATTCTCTTTAAAGAAATGAGCAAGAATAAAGGCATACAAAATAGGAAGGAAAGTAGGGAAGGAGAGGAGAAACACATTCACCATGTACCTACGAGTACCCTAGAAAACAGGTGCTTTATCTGAATTATGTCTTGTTCCTCCTACCAGGTGGCTACAGAAAAACAAAGGAGCTACATGAAACTTTTAATAAACTGTCATAAATGGCCTTTAAAAAGAAGTACTGGCTTTCTATTTCAGATACTGGCTTGGTGCCCAAAAGCAAATGTCTCATTAAAAGTAAAATTCATGCTAGAGAAATTGAAAATGTTGTAAGGATGATTTTTAATAATTTAAATCAGAAAGTAGTATGTTAAGAATAACAATGAAGTATCCTCATGCCATAAACCATGGAACACCATCACCTTCCTTAATCTTATAATCATGAGTCTGGCTACTTTTAAAACATATATCAGAAAACCAATAAATGAGAAGATTAAATAAGGCTGTCAATCTCTTAAAGTTACCAAGGTTATGCAAAATGAGAATCCATAGTACCTATTCCATCTTTGAATATGGAGAAAGAGGGAGAGTTCACTGCAAAGAAAGTCATTCTACAAATCCCTCCTAGTTCTTACTTTCCCCTAGTACCCCAAAAAGGCAGCAAGCAGTGCATGGGAGTGGGAAGTAAGAGAAGACCCTCCACTGGAGGTAAACTTACCTGTAATGCTTGGTTCTCTTTAAGGTCCAACCCAAACACATTCTGCCGCTTCACCTTAAAGAAATCAGCATCAAGTCCATCTTCCTCCTCTTCCTCCTCCCCACCCAAGAACTGAATAGGAACTTCTTTGTACTGTGATTCACCGGCGCTAGGGACAGACTGAGGCTGAGACCCTCTTGCTTTTTCAAGTTTCTCTTCCGCTTCTTCTTCATCTTTCTCCTCTTCCTCTTTGTCACTAACACCATTGGCCAGGTTGTACTCTGCCCTTTCTGTGCTCTTCCCACCTCTCTGAAGGATGGACATTTTCTCACTGAAGTAGGCTCTAAACTGTTCCACTTCATCACTGGTGAGAGAGGGAGCTCTTGGCTCAATGACTTTATGAACTTGATGCACTACCAGTTCTTTGGTGGGTTGTTTCTGAATTTTCTGAAGAAATCTTACACGTGGTGCCACAGCAAGACCAAGAGACCTTAAACATGGGCAAATGAAAATGGTTATCTAAAAACACTGATGGTGTGTTTATAGGTATTATGAAGCAGTTTCTCAAGAGTTGGATTTTTAGAGCTTTTTTTCTTTAAGAAAATGTTCCTCTGAGATACAGCTCAGTCTTGACAGATTAGATGATCCACAATGCAAGCCAAAAAATACTTAATACCTATTAGACAACACTGGAGACATTATGTTTTTCATTAAGAGGTTACTATGGTATAAAATAAAGACCAAAACAAGACAAGAGTTCAAGTACTAGATCTGCCTATTTTGAATCTAACCCTCTTGGCCTCAACTTCCTCAGACATGGGGTAACAATACCTAGCTGGCCTATCTCACAGTTGTGAAGATCTGATGTAGTAAACTATGCGAAAATATTTTGTAAAATATGAATATTATAGCTGGAAAGGCATGGTCATAAAAGGACAAAATAGTTATTTGCAAAAAATAAACTCGAGCATCAATGTCCTCCCTTCTGTGACATATAATATGATGACAATCGCTTCCATAAAAAAGGATTCTTAAACCAGAGGCAAAAAAAAAAGAATAAAAAATATATTTTCTCCTTTAAGATTAAGATTCACTTTGTGATCAGCTGTTACCCAGCTTCTAAGTTCCCACTGATGGATTAGAAGTAAACTCTTAAAGAAAGGCCTGCTAACATTACTACATGGATTCACTGCCTTTATCCTAGTCACAGAAACTGAGGGATATAGTGGTAAAGCACAGATTTAGAAATAGGACTGTTCAGAAAGTGAAATCAGGAAAACAATTCCATTCACAATTACATCAAAAAGAATAAAATACCTAGAAATAAACCTAACCAAGGAAGTGAAAGACCTATACCCTGAAAACTATAAGACACTCTTAAGAGAAATTAAAGAGGACACTAATAAATGGAAATTCATCCCATGCTCTTGGCTAGGAAGAATCAGTATTGTCAAAATGGCCATCCTGCCTAAAGCAATCTACAGATTCAATGCAACCCCTATCAAAATACCTATAGTACTCTTCAATGAACAAGAGCACATAGTTCTAAAATTCACATGGAACCACAAAAGACCCCGAATAGCCAAAGCAATTCTGAGAAAGAAGAATAAAGCAGGGGGCATCTCGCTTCCCAACTTCAAGCTCTACTACAAAGCCACAGTAATCAAGACAATTTGATACTGGCACAAGAACAGAACCATAGACCAGTGGAACAGACTAGAGACTCCAGATATAGACCCAAGCATATATGGTCAATTAATATATGTTAAAGGAGCCATGGATATACAATGGGGAAATGACAGCCTCTTCAACAGCTGGTGTTAGACAGCTACATGTAAGAGAATGAAACTGGATCATTGTCTAACCCCAAACACAAAAGTAAACTCAAAAATCTTCTGCATCCGTGGATGTTTTGCTGCCCTTGCCTAGCTTAGATTAATACTTAGTCCATAGGCACACACCTGATCATCTACATTGCCCTCTTACAGCACTAAACTATGTTTTCTACCTTTATCTTGCATCTACCTACCACTTCAGCAGTTTATTAAAAATAAAAATAATAATAATAATAAAGGGAGAAATGTGGGATCAACATATAAATCAAGTATAAAAATCAAACAAATATTCATATTTGACCTGATTGTTTATAGTTCATAATGCGTGAT